ATTCACTTACCAGTCCAATTACAGGATGACCAAATATTGTATTTTTGTTAATTTTTATAATAGAAAATATAAAATGACAGTTTCATCAAAATTTATTCAATAAATATTCTGTGTATTATATATCTTAAAACATTCGATACACAACACAACTTTACAATATGGACAGTAGTGTCTGGTCTCTTTCTGAATTTTTTGCATTATTGTCTTTCTTCAAATAACACACCTCACACTTTTGTGTTGGCCATTCCTTTTTTTCTGTGGGTGGTATAAATTCAGTAACTGCCCACTAAACACAATGCTGACGACGTCAGTGTGAATGACTGGTTGGTGTTTCGCTATCCCATATTTTTTAATTATTTGGTCTATTAGACCTAATCTCAATTGTAAATGACTTTAGAATGCCTTTGTTTTGAACAACAAATGAGTTTCATATTGTTTGGTCCAGAAGGTGCATAAGTATTTTGTAATATTTTTTGACATCTGCCCCAGTGACACTCAGGATAGGTAGTAAGCAAACAAATACGCTGCTCAAGTAACAGTCAGGGTAAATGTTGAGTGGTAAAGTCCTGGGGGTTGAACCCAGGCTCTTTGCACTGAGTTACATCCTTAGCTTCTTTTTTTGTTTTGAGACAAGGTCTCACTAAGTCATCGAAGAGCTCAAAATTGTGATCCACTTGCCTTAGCCTCCCAGAGTTGCTGGGTTATTTTAGCTATTCTGATAGAGGTGTTGTGTTGTAGTAACTCACTGTTGTCATTTGTGTTTTCTCTGTAACACTGATCAGTAGTTTCATGGAGATATATATATATATATATATATATACATATATATATATATATATATATATATATATATATATATACATATTTGAGTTTTAGGGGTTTTTTTTTGGTATTGTACTGGAGATGGAACCTAGGGCTAGGCAAGTGTTCTACCACTGAACTACATCCCCATCCCTTTTTATTTTATTTTATTTTAAAGCCTACAGCACCCGGTATTCCCAGGCAGTCTCCCATCCAAGCACTAACCAGACCTGGCCCTGCTTAGCTTGAGATCAGACATCGGGCGTGTTCAGGGTGGTATGGCCGTAGACTATCACTTTTTATTTTCATGGTTTTCCTAAATTCAGTCTAGCCTTGAACTTGCAATCTTTCTGCCTCAGTTTCCTGAATGGCTGTGCTCAGCTTGGTTATAGCTTTTGTGCTGCATCCAGCATGGCTCTTGAAACTCCGGAGGGAGGACAGTGAAGGATGAAGAACAAAGCCAAGAGTCAAGATGCATAAAGCTGTCAGGTGGAGCCTCTCCTGATGGGAGAAAGGTCTGCCCAACAACTGCTGTGTGTTTACTTATACAATCGGCATAAGAAGCTGTTCACGGAGAATTTCAAGGGAAGGGTAGGATTCAGAACGGAAGAACATCACGCCTTGGTGGTTGCACAGGGAACAAGAGAGCAGTTACTTGTGTTATCTCGGGAAGGCCTAGTCACTCAGTGCGCATCAGCTCTGCGCTGCATACGCTCCTCACGGGCCCTGCCAATCTCCTGAGAGGCAGTGACTTATCCTAGATACCGAGCTAGGGACGGCATCGCCCTCAACACTTTTATATTTGGGTCTGCAATCCATCTCTAATTACTTACTGTGCTTGGGATAAGGGATACTGTGAGGGTCAAGGCTTATCTGCACATGGATATTCAGGTGTTCCAACAGTTTATTGCACTCTACCCAAATCTTCTGAAGAGTCTTAAATCTAAAGACAAATATATTAAATCTGTGCCCTTCACTGCTTACCATTTTACCATGTTTGCTTTATCTGTGTAGGCTTTTATTCTATACTATTTCAAAGAATAGACATGACTTTTTATTCCTGTACGTTTTAGCAAGCAATTCCTAAGGACATTTTCCAACATAGCCATGATACTGTCACCACCTTTAAGAACTACTTCTAATATTAAGAACACCTTCAATAGTACGAACTTAAAATGTCTTTTTGCTTGATGGTATCCTGCCATGAATCGTATTAAACCTTGTCTGTCTGGGGAGAACTTACATCCTGATTACACTGACTCTTCCAACTAATCACCTCGGTATTTCTCTTCATTTAGTGCTCCATGCCAGATACTACTGCAATGGCAAGCAGAAACACTGAAATGACACCCAGAATTTGGAGGCACATTTACATCAGATGGATGTTGACTGGGAGTCAACTGACCCTCAAAGTCAGACCCTGAAGGCTCAGGGAGGGGTTTTCTGAGGTTGCAAGCAAGAAGCAGAGTATGTGGCTCTTTAATTGGTTCTTACAGTAGTGACCAGCTATGCATCAGAAAGACCAGCCATTTCTAGGAGACACCAGTAATAGGAACTGTAACAGGAACTGAGGTAAACTGGAGGTTACCTGGGCAATTAACAGACTGGCTTGGGGTATTTTCTGTTATACTAGATTGTCTTTGTACACTCAAACTTACTTCATAGAATGTTGACTGAGTTGGTAAAATAGAAATGTTTCCAAATAAAGAAAATAACATTATTTTAGAAAATATTTTTATTTAAAATTAAACTTTATTCAAACTGACATACAATAGTGTACCTGTGTAAAGTGTACACTTGATAAGTTTTGTTATATGCAAACACCCATGAAACTAGACAATAGCTAGGAGAGTGAACAGGCCCACTACCCACAAAAGCCCCCTCAAACCCATTTGTTGTCTGCCTCTCTGCCTAGGCAATGCTGGTCTGCTTTCTGTAATCACATGAATTTGCAGTTTCTGGACTTTTATAGAAATAGAATTATAGCCTGTAGTTTCTTTTTTTTTTTTTTCTTTGTCTTTTTCCTTTTTATCGGTACCGGGGATCGAACTCACAACTACCTGCTTGCAAGGCAGGCGCTTATGCCGCTGAGCTAAATCTCCAGCCCCCTATTTTTAGAAAATGTATTCAGATATAATTTCAATACAGTAAAGTTCACCTTTTTTTTTTTTGGTCTTTTTCCTTTTTATCGGTACTGGGGATCGAACTCACGACTGCCTGCTTGCAAGGCAGGTGTTTATGCCGCTGAGCTAAATCCCCAGCCCCAAAGTTCACCTTTTAAGAAAAACTTCAAGACAAGGTCTCACTATGTAGTTCAGGCTGGCCTTGAATTTGTATTGCATCAGTCTTGTAAGCACTAAAATTACAGGTGTGAGCCACCTCACCAGGCATCTAAAATTCACTTGTTTTACATGCACATACTGATCAGAGCTCTACAGGGAACTAGTACAAATTGTGTGTGTTTAGAGAAATGAGAGAAGGGAAGGAAAAAAAGAAGGGCAGGAGGAAGAGAGACAGAGAGGGGGGAGAGAGAAGGAAAGAGACAATCAGAAATTAATTTTAAAGAGCTGGTTCATACACTGGTAGGACTAGAAAGTCTGAAATGTGTAGAGCAGACCGGCAGGCTGGCGACTCACACAGGAGTTAAGCATTGAGGTAGAATTTCTTCTTTTTCTGGAACTGGTTATTTTTTCCCCTGGGAATTTATTTTTTACTTAAAACAGACCATGTTCACAGCAACAATAAAGACCTACATAGCCAATGGAAATCCTGCAAAGTGAGCTCAGTACCATATTGGAGTGAAACCAGAAAGAGACAAAAGAAACATTCAGTGCTTAGAATTAAACTTTTTTCTCTTTTCTATTACCTTTTCATATAAGGGAAACTATATGGTGTTCCAGCTTACTTAACATTATGATCTTAAGGTGCATTCATTTTTTAACAAATGCCTCAATTTTTCTTAATGGAAAGTAGTCCTCCATTGTGCCTAGTACCATACTGTCTTTATCCATTCATCTGCTGATGGGCAAGACTTAGCTATTATGAACACACTGCTACAAACATGGGTACACGTACATTACTGTCGTGTGACACTCAAAAGGGGAAGAGTGCGATGAGATTTGTAGTTTTAGTTATTTGAGGAATCTCTACACTGATTTCAAAGTGGTTGTATCACTATTGTATCTTACAAACAGTGGTGTTCCTTTTTCCCCATAGCCCACCAACATTTGTTACTGATTTCTTGATGGCAGCCATTCTTTTCTGGAGTGACATGGAATTTTAGTATTGTTTTAATTTCCATTTTTTGAGTGGCTGGTGATGCTACCTGAACATTTTTTTCATGTACGTATTGCCCATTGTATTTCCTCATCTGAGAAATACCAATTTATTTCAGAAGCCCAGGTGTTTTTTTGTTTTGTTTTGTTTTGAGACAGCAGGGTCTTGTTATGTAGTCTAGGTTGGCTTGTGGCGATCCTCCCCACACAGCCTCCCAAGTGCTGGGATTATAGGTATGCATCTTTAAATCTTGGAAGTCTACATTTTTTGAGTTATTTATATATTCTAGGTATCAGCCCTTTGTCTGAGGAGTATCTGACAAAAATTTGTCCCATTCTGTAGGTTCTCTTTACTCTACTGATGGTTTCTTTTTTTTTAAGTGCTGGGGATTGAACTCACGACCTTGCGCTTGCCAGGCAGGCGCTTATACCACTGAGCTAAATCCCCAATCCTATTGGTTTCTTTTGCTGTGCATTTTGCTGTATTATTTTTAGTATATAAGAATCACTAAATTTTATGATAAATACCTGGCTTGAGAATGAATCTGCTTTCCAGCCTACTTATAATTTTAAGATAGGGGAGTACTTAAAATTACAAAAATAGTCAGGGATTTAGCTTAGTAGCTCAAGCACTTGCCTGCTGAGTGTAATGTCATGAGTTTGATCCCTGGTACCAAAGGAGGGAAAATTTACCAAAATGAACTAGAACAAGAAATTTAATTTCTTTATTATACAAGAGAAAGATATTCCTGGAATTTGTAAGAATGGAAAATTTTAATTTTATATAATTTTATTTTAAAAAACATTTAAGGAAATAATACATTAATTTTGTAAAGTATCACCATAATATTCTGAAAAGTACAAAATTCAAATGCCTAAATTTTATATTCTCCCCCAAAAAATAATGCAAAAGGAAAACCCCCAGTAATTACAAATATGTATATTTTATTAAAAAAAACAAACCACCTCCATTTATCATAGGAATTAATGAGAATACAAATGGTGGATGAATTATGACTGAATTTCATACCCTAATGGGTCAAGTCCTTGGTCCAGAAGCATGAGAGAGGATTCCCTTAACTTCTGCAGCAATTTCTTTAGTTCTTGCTTAGAAAATACCTGATATTTAAAAAGAAAAAAATTAGTGAGAAAAAGAAAGCTATGTTACCTAATCAATCAGATTAATTTAAAATAAGAAATCCACTGTAAGGTTTATCTGGCCAGAAGCTAGTGTATTAATTAGAGTGGGTCAGGACCTCAGGGGTATGTCCCAGAGTCAGTCTGTACACATATTTGGGGCTGGAGGAAGCACAACACTAAAACTATACTATTAGTTTCAGAAAATCCAAGAACAACTTAAAATATAAGCATGCCTTCACAAACTAAAACATTAGCACAGTGTATGCCATGACTGAACTCACGGCCACTGATGCTGTGGACTCACCAGGTAGAGTTTGTGGCGCTCGGAGGACACCATGTCTGCCAACTGCAGGCACTCCTGGTACTGACCCGTGGTGTGCAGTATGGTGTGAAGCAGAAAACACAGTCTTGGCAGACAAAGCTTCCTCAGTAAGACCATCTGATGTGTCCTTTCATGGTCTTCCTCTGGATCCTACCAAGAGACATCAAGTATTTTGACAATTTTAAGCTAATTTTTTTTCTACCCTATTTTAAAAGAAGAATGAAATTATAACTTCCTTTGTATAATTAAAATAATAACAACACCTGCCACCCTGTAAAATGAAACTGAAGCTAGGCATGGTAGCCTGTAGTCCTAGCATTCAGGAGGATGAAGCAGGAGGATCCTTCCAAGTTTCAGACCAATCTGGCTACCAAGTGAGTTGTAAACAAATAACCTTAAAAAACAAACAAACAAACCTATAGATTTGAATAATACAGTTAATGAATGAGTAAATGAGAGAAGCGATACGTAAGGATAACTTCATGTGAAGAAATCAATTAGGTTTTTTTATGGTGGTGCAGAGGATTGAACCTCAGGCCTTGTGCATGCTAGGGAAGTGCTCTGTCATTGAACTGGATCCCCGGGCCAATAATTAGTATTTCTAAGTATACATGGATCTTTCTAAAAGATCATGTGGACAGCTGGCTGTAATGGTGCATGCTTGTAATTCTAGCACTCAGGGAGGCTGAGGTAGGAATATACAGAGCTGGAGGCTAACCTGGGCTACAAGGGAAGTGAAGACCAGTGTGGAGTACTAAACAGACTGTCTATTGAGAGACAGAACATCAAAAAACAGACAGTGTTCGTGGTTTCTTTGTTTTAGGTATGAATGATACACATAGCTTACCTCTCGGACATCTACCATCCACCCTCCATCAACAAACAACAAGACATTGTACATTTTCTCCTTGACATCAGCTGTTAGGGCATCCAAATGTCCCTTCCAAATATCATAGTCCATCTGCAAAACAAATATAAGAGCAGACCTAATGGACAAAAATCAACAGATGATGTATTTTTAGACCCTAACCACCATACCTCTTTGGCTGTCTCTAGAATTAAACCCCCAAGGGCTCCAGTATGATAAGTAAATGCTCTACCCCACAGCTATATCCCCAGTCTCATAATGTATTCTTAATGTACAGACAGAATATATAGATGGAATATAGTTCTTAAGAGGTGGGCTGGGCATGGGAGTGTATGCCTGTAATCCCAGCACTTGGAAGGCTGAGGTAGGAGAATCCCCTTGAGTTCAAGGCCAGCCTGGGCTACACAGTGAGATTGTCTCAAAAAAACCAAAAAACAAAATAAGCAAACAAAAGAAATGTTACAGCAATTAAAGAAAAAAAATGAATTGGTATTTTAATTGGTCAAATATAAAACTAATTATCAACAGACAAAAGTTACACCAATAATGAAATGTTAATTATAAACAAATATTTATGTTACCTGAAGGTATTTTTCAGTACCTACAGAAAGGTAACTAAACAGGTAGCTTCTTTTCCAAAGCAGAACATTAACAAGATGCTCTCCTGTTATAATCCGACTATAACTGGCAAAAAGAATGACCTCTTTAAAAACTAGTATACATTTATAAAATGCAATAACCTCATCCCAGATCCACATTCAACTTACTTCATATTTCTTTTCTTTATGTTCATAAGCTACTTGTTCAGTAAAACTTGGCTGGGACATCAAAGTAGGTTTTTGTGGAGCTGCATTCATATGGTTAAACCACTCAGTAAAGGTTTCATGGGCTTCCTACAATGCAAATCAAAAAAATTTTTTACTTTTCTTCAATGAAAGCTCTTAAAAGATTTGATTCTTAAAAATAATTTTGCAGCATCAAGAAACAAAACCGTTCAGTATTTATCTTTTGTGTGTGGGCACATGTGTACACACATATACACAAATTGTTGTATATAAATGTCTTATTAAATGAGAAACACCAGCAAAAGTACATACACTGTTTTCTGGCATCTTCTTCAGCCTTGGCATCTCAATCACATATTTCTCTTGATAGTAATCACTCTATAAAGTGTATGTGTTCACTTATCTATCTTCTTCATTAGCCCACTGTATTTCAATAAGATGGAATGTTATTCACAAATTTAGCCCTATTATTTAGCCTCATAATTACTTGTTTGTGGAATACATTTTATTTTATTTTTGTCTTTTTCGTTTTTTATCAGTACCAGGGATCGAACTCATGACCACCTGCTTGCAAGGCAGGTGCTTATGCCACTGAGCTTAAATCCCCAGCCTCGAGTGGAATACATTTTAAGTATACTGTTAATTTTAACTGTAACAAATCTAAATAGCTTGGCTTTCTCAGTATTGTTAACAGCCAGAAAAAAGGTTGAGAAAAGTTTTCATATCTAAGATTTAAATTCCATTCATCACCTAGGCTTTGTTAAATTTTATTTATTAGTCTTATGTTGGTAGTACATAATGTTTACAATCCTTGCTGGGAAGTTGGTACATGCATCTAACACATGTTAATTTCTTTTCTCATTCCCTTTCCTTCCCTTCTCTCTGTCTCTCTTTGATCCCCTTTACTTTCCATTCCTTGAGTGGAGTCAGCCCATGTGTAATACATCCTAATTCCTTTTCATCCCTTCTCCTTCCCTCCCTTCCCTCTCTGTCTCTACATCACTTATCTTTCTGAGAATCTACCTCTATCTTCCTACTTCCTAGTATCTTTTATTTTGCTCTTTATTTTTCCTCTGGGTTTCTCATGTAAGACAAACCATGGGATATTTAAGTTGTGTTCCTGATTTACTTCACTTAATCAAAGATGTATCAATTTTCCAACAACGACTCAAGTTTATCCTCCTTTACAGCATAACTTTATAACTTGCTTAGGTGGTCATGGAGTCATAGTTTCGTCTGTTTGTGGATTACCTTCATAACAGTCAAAAGGGAGACAGGAGAATCAACTGTTGCTTCTAGAAGCAAGTTCCAACTCTCAGAGGGAATCAGAAAATCATCATGAAGACTGGTTTTCTTCATAGACTCACCAAATAAGCTCTAATGCACAAATGTTCTCTGACAGCATTATCAATTTCGGCAGGAAGTGAATTGTGGGTTCCCCTTTCCTCCCACAGATTATAGATTTCTGCTATAGAATCCCGAGGAATTTTCACAAATACTTCTTTTGCAGCTTCATGTTTTTTTAATGCTATGAAAAAAGGATATATAATTTTCAGTATACGAACTTCTATGCAATGGTTTCTTAAGGAATCAGATCATTAGTTTACAACTTTTACAGTGAGCTATAACTATTTCAGCTCCCAAAGTACTGCTCTTTTTTTTTTTTTCTTTTTCATTTTTATCGGTACCGGGGATCGAACTCACGACCACCTGCTTGCAAGGCAGGTGCTTATGCCGCTGAGCTAAATCCCCAGCCCCCAAAGTACTGCTCTTAAAGATCTTAAGTGATCTTTCCACCCAATATGCCGGCTCTTTGCTTATCTCTATGTGATAGTAACACAGAAGGGCACACACGTAGTTATTTTCACACACTTCTTTTTTTTTTTTTGTCTTTTTCCTTTTTACTGGTACCAGGGATCGAACTCACGACTGCCTGCTTGCAAGGCAGGTGCTTATGCCGCTGAGCTAAATCCCCAGCCCCTCACTTCTTTTTTTTTGTCTTTTTCCTTTTTATCAGTACTGGAGATCGAACTCACGAGTGTCTGCTTACAAGGCAGGCGCTTATGCTGCTGAGCTAAATCCCCAGCCGCACACTTCTTTTTTTTTAAAGACAAAGTCTCACTATGTAGTTCAGGTTGGTCCTGAACTCACTATATAGCACAGGCTGGCCTTGAACTCTCAGCAATCCTCTTGTCTCAGCCTCCTGCTTTTGTATCTTAAAGAAAGCAACTGTACTTTTCAAAGTCTGAGAGCCACGATTATATATCAATTTATGAAGATCATGCCAATTCACTGTTAAGCAGACTGTTTCATAATATCATGCTTACTGCATCAATATCTGGTATTCTCCCTGTAAACTTCAGTGAAACAAGAAACAAAATTCAAAAGTAGATGGATCTGAACAAGGAACATAAAGATATAGCACACCTAGGAATTTCCTCATTATTGCATTGCCTTGTTTCAGTGCTTCTGACCTCTGTGCTGGGTCAAATAACAACCAGTCAATGACATCGATTTTCACACGGTCCTCCTATTCATTCAAAAGGGAAAAAAGAAAAAAAGCATCAATTTTGTTTCCTTTTAAAATATTCTGCAAATTAGTAAAACTAGTATACCTGCACTTCTGGTGAGCAACATGTCCCCTCCAGTATACAAAAGAATTTAATGTTCCTTAATTTAATTTCCTGTGTAACAGCTATTAAAATATAGAAAAACTCCCTGGACTATGAATCTGTATATGCCGTATGTTCTTATACCTTACCCATGTGAGGGATTATTTTCTGGTGGGGCTGGGGACTGAACCAAGAGCCTTATACATGGCAGTGACCAGTGTTCCGTCACTAAGCTACATCCCCCACTCAACCATGTGATAATTTTTTTTTTTTTTTAATTTTTATCGGTACCAGGGATTGAACTCAGGACTGCTTGCTTGCAAGGCAGGTGCTTATGCCGCTGAGCTAAATCCCCAGCCCCAACCATGTGATAATTTTAAAAGCAGCACTCTAGAAGCGTTTTCTTTCTTAGCCATAACTTCGCTTTCTTTCTGAAAACAGAAGTTAGTGATTGAAAAAGTGTATAGAATAATCTGATGAACAAAAAGCCAATGCTCAGGTGGGTGTGGTGGCACATGCCTGTAATCCCAGCATTTAGGAGACTGAGGCAGGAGGATCACTGTGAGTTTGAGGCCAGCCTGACGTATATAAGTGAGTTCAAGGCCAGCCTGCACTACATAGCAAGACCCTATATCAAAAACCCCCCAAAACAAAAAAAAAACCAAAAACACATTAAAAAAACCCATCCAAAAAGCCAATGCTGAGATTATTAGAAAAGTTTCTTTTAATGTTTTTGTAATGCTGCCACTATAAATAATCCTTTACATAAGACCTTAAATTTACTGCCAAGTTTTCTAATTTAAAAGGATTGAGCAGGCTGGGCATGGCAGCACATGCCCGTAATTCCAGTGTTTGGGAGGCTGAGGCAGGAGGATCACCATGAGTTTGAGGCCAGTCTGGGCAACATAGTGAGTTCAAGGCCAGCCTGAACCATGTAACAAGACTCTGTCTCAAAAACAAAAACAAACAAAACAAATACAAATACAAGGCTTGTGCTGACCAAAAAAAAAAAAAAAAAAAAAAAAAAGTTCTTTTAAAAAAAATTAAAAGAGGGGCTGGGGATTTAGCTCAGTGGGCATAAGCGCCTGCCTTGCAAGCAGGCAGTCATGAGTTCAATCCCTGGTACCGATAAAAAGGAAAAAGACCAAAAAAAAAGATAGAAGTGAGTGTATTTTATTAGAAGTTCACCAAGGGACAAAATAAAGGAAAACTGAAGTTTACCTTTCACCTGAAATTACCTGAGTAGTGTCGCTGTCCTGGTCTGGGCTCAAGTCATGAGGACTAAATTCACCATTATTTTTCTTTCGAATATTCTCAACTACTGTTTTTGTTATTGTTGCAACGTCCAAATCTAAAACATTTTTGAAAGAACAACAACAAAAAAAAAAACCCAACAACAATCACTGATACTAATATTCTTTGAATAGTTAAATGATTTAGTAAATCTGCAGTAACAGTTTTGCTTTTTTTTGGCAGGGCTAGAGATCAAAGCCAGGCCTCATACTAGGTAAGTATTCTACCAGTGAGCCACATCCCCAGCACCTGGAACAATAATTCTTAAAAAATCAAATATGTAAAATCTGAAAGTTTTATGAAATAAAATGCCAAAATTAAAAAATATCTTACATGACTTACAGCATGTTATTTTATTCCTAAAACTTTGATGAATATTTTATTCTTTTTCATCCCCCTCTCAACAGAAATAAGATTTAACTTAAAGAAAAAATATTCTAAGAGTCAAAATGAAAATCTGCTTCCAAAGGTCCATAGATGAAATCTCAGCCATTTTTACCTGCTTCCCGAGCCAGCTCCAGAGAAATATGGCGATGTTCAAATTCTGTGACACTTTCCAAAAATAAGGCATACTGAGCAACAGCAAGGTCTTGAGGCAGATGACAGCAGTAAAATGCTATGAGATGTGTATTCCCCTCATCTATTAAAAGCTGAAAATGGAAAAAATCAAAGTAGGTTAATTATACAGTAAGTCTTAGAATAAACAGTGCTTTTGTTTCATTTAGTGGGCAGTGCTGGGAACTGAACCCAAAGTTACTAAAATGTAGTTAGGGCAATTCAAAGATCCCTGATGGATGAGTTTCTGGTCATTGGGTATTAAAATAACACCACTCTGAGTTAAAATAGTAAAAAAAGAATCAAGATCTAGTTTCTTAAAGTTTACCTGTATGTATGTCTTTAAAACTTCAACTGAAACTTCTTCCTTCACAGGGGAAAAAACATAATTCAATTATAATAAACAACTGCTTACATGTGCCACATAATACAATTTCCAATAAAAATTCTGCTTTAAATCATTTAATAACTTTAATATATCCTATTAAGTAATGACTGTACACCAAGCAAAGCTCATATACTGCCAGATTTCACCTTACCATAACTCTGTGGGTACTTCGTACTTTAGAGTAAGAAGCAAAGACCAAGTTTTTTTTTCTTAAGTCCACAGCTGAAGGTGCTACAAGGATGTGAACTCAAAGGTCTTACACCAAAGCTCAAGCTTGACTATTGTACTGTCACTTCTATATGAACTCTTGACAAAAATAATATCCAACATTTATGAAAAAAGGGAACTAAGAGGAAAAAGAAAAGTTTGGACTCACAAAGAACTTAGTCTGGCTCAGCTAGCTTAGCTGCTTGATCTGAATTTTGTTTGTTTGTTTTTGAGGATACAGTTCTTAAAAGTCAGAAACCTTATATTCTGTGGCCAACCAAGCCTAGAAGCCTAATGGTCTCTCACAATGACCATACTCATCACCATCTGCAGAGAACATCAACAAAACCATGTGCTTCCTTGATGATCCCTAAATAGCATCAAATACATTGTTACATTGTTTGTTTTTATTTACTTTGGTCTGTAATCCCAGAGTGCGGAAAAACAAAATGAGATGAGTCATGAAGCGGAGAAGATGACCAGGGAGTTTGCTTCTGCTTTTAGAAAGCCATCTGCTGAACTCATCCATCAAACCTATAAGCCATTAAAGCAAAGAATAACATCAGATAAACATTACCAAGAATATGAAGTGTGATCAAAGAATATGGCGAATACACTAAAAGACACTATCAATAACCTCTTTTGAAACAGTCCCTCTCAACTTATCCCATCGCTTTTGCCACTTCCTGAAGCAGTCCTGGAATTCCTGTAGTGTCCAGCTGCCATGTTGCAGCTGCTTTGATGCCCCAGACTGATTCAACATGTTTACCTCTGGTGATGGGTTTTGACTTTGAGAAACAGCCAAAAGTCACACAGTTCCCATCCAGGGAATACAGTGGGCATTATGAGCACAATGTAATGTTTTTATTTGACATAAAATGCCATAAACATTCGGTCAGTGTGGCATGATTAAAAAATAATACTGCATGTTTAAATAAAAGTATATAGCTGGGGGTTTAGCTCAGCGGCATAAGCACCTGCCTTGCAAGCAGGCGGTCGTGAGTTCGATCCCCGGTACCGATAAAAATGAAAAAGACAAAAAAAAAAAAAAAAAAAAAAAAGTATATAGACACACTGCTATTAAGTTTCCTCAAAACATTTTCCCACACTTTGAACACAGGTATCCCATCCTCATTAGCAATGTGCCTTTTCTTGTAATAAGGTTTTTTTTAGAGGGGGTCAGAGGCTCAGACAGTCTTGCTTTATAGGTCAGGTTGGCCTTGAACTATGCAGATTAGGTTTGCCCTGACCACTCAGGGATTCTCCTGCCTTGGCTTCCCAAGTGCTGGGATTACGGTGTGCACCACCATGTCTGGCAAGCTTTTAAAATTTAAATATACACCATATTTTTTGATCACTCCTTCCATTTACCTCATTCTTCTAGTGCTGTTAAGTCAATGTCTCACTGTTAAAAGCCATTATATAACTACATCTCTTAAACAGATTCTGGGTTAAATTAAAACTTTAATAACAAATAAAAAGCTACATCCAAATAAGTGGTATCTGTAAAACTTAGAAGCGTGGTAACTCGTGCATTGCTTTTACAAAAATTACTGTATGAAAATGAAGAACTCAAATTAAAATAAAACCATAGCTTACCATCAATGTTTCCCAGGATAAGGAATTTTTGAACAATATGGTAATGTTCTTGATTCTCTTCCAGAACTCTCTGAAAAAATTTTTTTACATTTTCTGTAAGTCTTCTGTAGTGATTCTGGAGTATGTACTCACTGTTTAAGTAAAAATCTCAAACTTTTGAAGGGACATGTATTAAGTAAGAAATGAAAGGTCTCAGAAAGTCCAATAAAAAAGATGGGAAAGATATTGTCTTCAAAATGTACTCAAGGTTTACAAATTCAGGACTGAACAATATCTTTGAAAGTAGAGAACTATTATATAGCAGTTTAATCTCTAGGAATATTAGTAACTATTACTCTTTATGTTCTATTTAACTTGTCACAACATGGTAGAACACCAAAAGAGGAACCTATATGAATTAAGTAAAATAAATTATAAGATTTCTTTCAAGAGAAGCAGCAGTAGTAGAAACCATTCTCTTAGGTATTTTCTTCTGCACACCATTGAATAATGAATCAAAATAGTCAGGTAAAGAGCAGAGAAAATCATTTACAGAGAAAATCGTTTACAAGTGCATGCATGAGGCTTTTCTGTAAAGTAACTCCTCTCTCTCATGCTGAGGACTGAATGCAAGGCTTGGCATTGAGTTACATTATGAATTCTTATTTTACTCTGAGGCTAAACTTAAATTTGCAATCCTCCTGTTTCCAGAGTGCTGGGATTACAGGCATGTGTCACCAATCCTGGCTTAAATTATTTTAAAGAAATATTATTTTTTAAAAAAAACATTGGATTGCTGGGGATTTAGCTCAGTGGCACAAGCATGTGTCTGGCCAGCACAAGGCTGTGAGTTCAATTCCCAGTACAAAAAAAAATAAAGATTATTTGGAGGGTTAAGAAAAAAACCTTAATTCTCCACTTAATATTTAAATTTTCAGGAAATGGGGTTAAATGCAGCATATGCATATATTTGGATGAAGCCAATCCTAAACCAAAGAATAACGAATCTTTTGCATAATTTCCTATCTTTTAAAGAATGTTTCTAGCCAGGCATGGTGACGCATGCCTGTAATCACAGCACTTGGGAGGCTGAGGCAGGAGGATCACTGAGTCTGAGACCATAACTTAACCAAGTAGTAAGTTCAAGGCCAGCCTGAACTACATGGTGAGAGGCTGTCTCAAAAAAAGACATGTCTTCAATTTTGATAAAAGGCAAAGGAAAGAAGGGAAAGGGGAACAAAGCTTCACAAATCAGTTAGGGCACAACACAGTAACCTTACTCTACATTTACTAACAAGTTTATATCTACATTTACCTTTTTATCAGTAGCTTGAAGTTCTTCAAAAACCTTTTCTAAGGTCCAACTTCAAAAGAATAAAACAGAAAAGGATAGAATATTAACAATATGAAAAAAGGCAGTGAAATAAAACTTCCAGGAGCATACCACAAATCACTATGACTAAAAACAAACCAACACACTCACTTTGCTTCTAAATACTCTCTCGGGAGTTCTTCAGTTTCATTCTGGGGCATCACTGACAGCCGGATCTCCTGCTCCACCAGACTGTCCACCATCACTCGGAAGTAGGCCCATACAGTGTCTTCCCAGGTGTCACAGACAGGAAGAAGCTTTGTTCCATTCCAAATAGAAACAGACACATTCAAGGAAAAGGAAAAGCAACTGTATCCATTGATATGGACAATATAGTCACCATACTGATAGAAACATTGCAGCTTTAAATAAAACTATACTATTAACTTCCTTTTCTCCCATTTGTAAGCTGTTTGGACTACTAGGATTTTTTCCATACCAAATTCACAACCACACCAATTTTGTTTGCTGACACAAGATGGCATTTTAACTGATTATAGGATTCCTCAAAACAGTTGTCAAATGTAGAAGGTAGGAGAGGCTATAAGAAACATACACACTATGTAAAATAATCTGAGGAGTCACTGTCTCTTGGTACTTTTCTAGATATAGTCTTGGGTATTAGAAGTCATCAGTAACTGTGGGTTGCAATTAAACTGACAATATTTAGTGAGAAATTAAAGTCTCATTTCATTAAAACATCATGCATGTATGGAATATAACACATTAAATAACTACTGTTTCATAATTATCTCTATCATTGCTACTTTTATTTACTTTATGTTTTTGTCTTTTTTGAAATAGGATTTCACTATATAGTTCAGGCTGGCCTTGAACTCACTTTGTAGTCCAGGCTGGTCTCAAACTTGCAATGATCCTTCTGCCTCAGCCTCCCAAAGTGCTGGGATTACAGGCATGCGACACCATGCCCGGCCATCATTGCTACCTTTAGAACGCAGCTTAAATTTGGAAGGCTTTTACATATTAGAATATTTTATGCATCTGATTTTAATCTACAGAAAAATATTAAAAGATTGCATACCTGTTTGAGATTCCCACTTAAAGCTGCATAAATTGCTCTCTCATATTTATTAAAATGTTCCTAAAATACAATAAAAATAAACAGATTTGAAATACTTTTTTATTAGTATGTTAATTTTCCTCCTAATCTGGAATTTTCCTATTTCTTATTTTTTTGTGGGGGAGAAGGGTACCAGGAATCTAACTCAGGACCTGTGCTTGCCAGGCAAGTGCTATGCCACTGAAGGATATACCCTGGCCCTATTTCTTCTAGATATAATCTACTTTGTGAGTTTCTAAACTTTAGAGAAAGATTTAGTAATAGGAACCTTTTATGTTGATGAAATAATAGTGAAATCTTCAGGAAAAGTCCAACATTTTAATTTCTTCCATAGGGTGAAAGCAAACCCAACTCTAACAGATGTTCTGATTATACTGTGTGGCTGAATAACTCTGATAGGCTCCTAATTACTTTTAGCTCTTACAATTTAAAAGTCTGTTTTCCATGTGGGCTATCTCTAAAACACTGCTGCAATGGGCCTTCAAAGTTTTGCAACCCTTGTGACACCCAATTCTACAAGCAAAATTTAGGGCTTTTTCAAGGTGAAGTGCCAAATTGACTGTAGTGTTTATGTGATTGTCTCACAGAAATAAAATTGTACTAGCATTTTTATTGATTGTTTAAAAATCTTTTTATGTATCACTGATGAAGGTTTTTTTTTTTCTTTTATTTTTGCAGTATTAAGGATTGACCCCACTGGGGTTCTACTCTTGAAATATGCTCTTGGTCCTCTGTATTCTTTAAGACAGGATCTTGCTAAGCTTTCCAGGCTGGGCTTGAACTTGTAAAACTTCTGCCTCAACCTCCAAGTAGCTGTGTTACAGGTATGCACCAGCATGGCTGACTCACTGAGGAAATTTTTAGGGACTGTTCTCGTAACTTTATCTTTTCATAAACCCTGTGGATTTTTTTTCTAGTGTGTGCGTGCGTGCAATTTGCATGTTGTACTGAGTTTTAGGAATGTATGTGCTGTGTCCCTACAGAACTGACAATACAATATTTCTTTTAATAAGCCATCGACTTGGCAGATCTACCATTCCTTGAGTCTCCCTGCCTACAAATCCTGCCTAGAATTCCTTCCTTTGTTCTCATTCCCAACAACCTAAATGCTTCTGATTTAAGAAGTTCTATTCAACCATCACCCCTAGGAAGCTAGCTTCAAGTTTTTATCCATTTTTTTCTAAACTTATTTGGTACATCCTTTATATTTTGGGCTTGTATCAATGTTTGATTCTTAGTATTTGGTGTCTCAAATTCTGATAAGTAGTTAAGACTATTTCTCAACTTCTTCAGAACTTCTCTGAAAACAGAACTTTAGTTTCATGCTACTCTGAACATTTCATAGCTCCTTGCTAGGTCTTCACTTAACCTGGAGTAAAAATTAGTGACAGTGAATGTTATTTATCTTACATCTTCTGCCATTCTCCAGCAACTAATTTTCCAAATGCGTCGATATGGATTCCCTTCAACAGGTTCTAATTCTGCTCCTATTTCTATAAAACAATAAAATAAATATATTTTTAAATGACATTTTTAATCATGTCTAAAAAGAAAAGTATAGTTCATATAGAATAGCATTTGGAATGAAATGCCTTTCTCCGATCTCTCAGAATAAACTCAAACATACCTCCATTAATATTAGGGTCATGGTATAGTTTCCAGCCTTCCAGTGTTGCAGCTCTCCATGCCTGACCACAACGTTTACAGAGACGCTGTGCCTGTAGGAACAAGAAAGATGTCACTGCCCGTGTAGTACTGAAAAGTACTTGTGCCCTGGAGTAGAGCATAACTTATATATGACAAGATTAGATCATCTGTGGCATCAGTGTTAGAGTATGTAGACAACTAGTAACATTCCACTTTACCAGTGTGTGCATTTATGTGGTCTCTGCCTCTGCTGTTAGTATTGAGGCAATTCCTTTTCTCTTGGATTTTAGCCTTACCTGTGGGTTCTCATGGTGCCTACCAGCATTTAATTCTGCTAGAAACAAAGAGGGTTAAAGAGGTTGATGCCCTGAATTTACTAGAAGTATTATAAAACCATTGTTAACTGCTATTATGACAAGGGTGTTATTGCCCATTTAGCACACTGACAATTGTTTCTTACATTCAAATTGACCAAGAAGAAATATGAACGCCAACACAGCTTTCAAGTTCCTAAACAGTATCAGCTAGAGTAGATTTATTTTAAACTTTTATTTTCAAAGCTAAGGATTGAACTCATCATACTGGATCATACTACCAGTCCTTTTTATTTTTGAGACAGGGTGTAAAATTATCTAGGGTGGGCCTGAACTTGGGATCCTCTTGCTTTAGTCTCCCAGAATACCTGAACTAATGGCATGAGCTACCATATGTAGCTTATTTTAAACCTAAAAATCAGAAGTACAGTAGTATACATTTGTAATCACAGTATTGTGGGAGGTTGAGGCAGGAGGATCACAAGTTTGAGTTAGCCTGGACAATTTAATAAGGCCCTGCTTCAAAATTAAAAATTTTCTAAAAGGCTGGGGATATAGCAAAGACCCTGGGTTCCATTCCCAGTACTTTAAAAAAAACTCTCAGCAGTGTACATGACAAGACTATTCTGATGGTATGCAATATAATACAGAGAAGCAAAGTGTGACTTGTTAAAGAGTTCTCTAATAATTAGAGCCAAGCAAACTAAAGGGCACTGTTCTCTAAAGCAGTGTGTATCTCATCACTGGAAACATTCAGTGAGGAAGACAGACCCAGAAATACCATCAGTGAGATTACCCCACTGAAGAAGCACATTAAGTAGCCACAAAGATCTCTTTCAACTTAAAGAGTCTATGGCTTTTCGAAATTGGACAAGAATGGTATTACGTGCTTTACCTCATCTGTCATTCCAGCACGGATTAGAGTGAAGAGATATTTAAGTAATCGAATTTCATCTTCTCTATCCAGATCATCAAGGGGCATTTTCTGTCTTATGGGAGCATCAGGATCCTGTAAAAAAAATAAAAAAATAAAAATCAACTATTAATGCAGTGTTGGAGATCACACCCAGGGCATTGCATATTCTAGGCAAGCACTCTGCCTGAGTTACTCCCCCAGCTCTGTACCTACATACACTTTATGCATTATCATGGGATGATATACAGAAATAAACTTCTTTATAATTTAGTTCAGTAAAGGGAATGAAAGTGTCACAGATGTCCCAAGTTCCTCTAGCACATAATGGCACAAGACTGGCTCAGGTAAGGAGGATACCACTAGTGCAGCCCCAAGCAGCCGACACAAGGCACCTCACTATCATGGCACTTACATGGCCAGGGCAACTTGAAATAATTACACCTAGATGGTAGTCAAACAAGAAAGACTGAAGGAATCTATGCTGTGACTAGAAAGTGCCTTTGTAAGAACATAGAGTCTATTACGTACGTAAAATACAACAATGTCCAATTTAAAAAAATCTACAGATTTATAATAAACAAAAATTCCCTAAATGACTATTTCTACCTACTCCCATCCATGTGCTTTTAAACATTTAATGTACTACACTCTCCTCATTTCAGAAGCAAATAGCACACATGTGCTACATGCTAAAATTTGAACAAAAAATTATTCAAATGTGACTTATTCCAGATGTTACTAAAAGTATGGCAGTATAAATATCAAGTCAGAAAATGAAATACATAGTAGGTCAACTGGCCACTTTCACAAAGATTTTACAGATACATTCAATTTTGGAACAGTTTCTCTGGCAAAAAGGAAATCACCACTTTCCAGCCACTAAGAGTAAATGATTTTCAGTTATTGCTTGGTACAAGTAATTTAGCTATAATTTAGTTCAGTATCTTCTGGTAGTTTCTAGACAATTTTTATCACAAACCATTTTTGCTATCGAGTTTTACAAACTTTTTCACTTCTTATTGTAAACATGTACATCTACCAATCACAAAGCTCTATTCCTTTACTTCCGAGAGTTTGGCACGTGTTCTTTTCAAACCCACTGTATTCCTATCACTTCTATTCCACAGTAACTCTTCTAACTCTACAAGAACTCACAAGCATGTATTTTAAGCATCATTTTCTAAAAAAACTGTCATAGGTTACTATGTTATAATTAAAGAATCAAATCTTACCATGAGACCAAAACTGATTTGTTTTAAATGCTACTGCGTACACTTTCTGCATTTTCTTTTACAATTTATAAGTAATGGGTAAGTTCAAATACATTTCATCATTCAAATGCAACTTAGTTGTTTTAGAATAAATTGTTAGTATGTGTAAACCACAATAAGGATCCAAAAGAAGAAAAATTCTTAACCTTAAAAAGAAAAAAAAAAAAAATCAACTTAACTTTTGAAAACAACTTTCATTTCCAAGAATACTCACCAATTCAGTGACAAGAGGACGGGCACTTCCTATGGAAGAAGCTAGCTGCCGTTGTTTTAAACTGTGGAGGGTATTTTCCCTAGAAGAAAAGTACCAACAATTTTAAAAGGGACAATTTCAATGGGCCTATTAAAAAAATCAAGTCAAAATCAGCAAACAGATGACAAAATTAGAAAAAAAAAATGCAAAAATCCATCAGAAAATAGCAGTTTAAAATGACTAATGATGTTGAACACTTTTTCATGTCTTTACTGGACATTTATTGTATCTGCTTTTATGTTTAAGTCTCTGCTCTTTTTGCTGGTTAGCTTCCTACTACTAAATCGTAGTTATTTATCAATTCTGTGGTCTATTACGTTTCTACCCATCTGTGGCTTGCTCTCCTTTTTCTTAATGGTGTTTTTTAATCCTAAGTTTTTCATGTTTCTGTTTTCTGATAAAGGGTCACAATATGTAGCCATGGCTGGACTCAACTCTTGAGTCTCCTGCCTCATCCTTCTGACTGCTGGGATTATGGGTTTGTGCCACCACACTTGGCAGAGAAGTTTTTGATTTTCATTTAGTCAGCCTCCCCCCACCCCAAGGGCATATCTGGAGGTTCTAGCCAGGGAGTGTAGCTACTGCTGTACTCCTTATGAGGAAATGGCCCTCTATTGCAGATGGTCCTCTTCTACCTTCAGGAGGGATGCACACTGAGCGGACAGACAGGAAGGGGATACCTAGCAGATTAGCTGAACCAACCCTAGTGATCAAGGATGGCAGAGGTCACAGCCAGATTGCCTTCACATCCAACTTTTTTTCCTTGATCACTGCTTTCTGTAAACTAAGTGACATGTACCTATCTCCAAAGTTACAAAGATATATTCCTATGTTTTTCATCTAAAGAATTACAGGGGCCAGGGATTTAGCTCAGCACCCTAAGCATCTACCTGGCAAGCGTGAGTTGTAAATTTGATCCCCCCAAAAAACAAAAAAACAAACCAAAATAAAAAAATACCCAAAGAATTTCGGGTATACGCTTTACATTGAAGACTGTGTTCATCTTGGATTGTTGGGTACAGTGTGAGAAAGCTGTTGAGGCTAATCTTTCTTTGCACAGAGAGTATACCTCTGCAGTTTATTGAAAGGACATTTCATTTCCCAGTAGACTCTTTTGATATCTTAGCTGAAAATCCAGTCGTCACAAGAGTGGGTATGTTTTAAGGTTTGCCATTCTGAAACATCGGTAAATTATTATTATTATTATTATTTTTGTCTTTTTTGAGACAGGGTCTCAATAAACAGGTGAAGCTGACCTTAAGCTCAGTTTATAGTCCTGGCTGGTCTTGAACTTCCAATGATCCTCCTGCCTCAGACTCCTGAGTGCTGGGATTACATGTGTGCACCACCACACCTGACTAACACTGATATGTAACCACAGAATGTGGGAGACAGAAGGATGGCGGGTTTGAGGCCAGCATCAATTATATAGCAAGATAGTGTCCCAAAAAAAAAAAAAAAAAAAAAAGAACAAAAACACCAAAAAAACTGAAAAACCACATGACTAGCTAAACAAAAGTTGCAAAAACCTTAACAGGTTTTTGAGTCTCATACCATCGGCTGTCTTCAGTCTCACGTTCCACTCTTCTTTTCCCTGCTGTGTTCACATCAGCCTCCACATGTACATACTTTACCTTTCCAGAGTCTTTGTGGCTTCTGTTCCTGATCAGAACACTCTTCCCCCAGATTTCAGTACAATTTACCTACTTCATTCTTGTTTTTTCCCCCTTTAATTTCACTGTTTTACCTAAGCTAAACTTGAACTCTTGGCTTCAAATGATCCTCCTGTCTCAGCCTCAGTAGCAGGGACTAGTCATGTATAACTCATGCCCAGCCTTCTTTATTTCTTTGGGGTTGGTTTTGTTTCTTGAGGCAGGATCTTGCTATGTAGCCTAGGCTAGCCTCAAAACTTGAAGTGATCCTCCTGCCTCAGCTTCCCAACTGCTGATATTATAGGTGTATGTCACCAGGCCCAGCCCTTATTTCTTAAAAGCCTCTTTGTGCTCATAACTTCTTTAGAAAAGCATTCCTTGATCACCTCTTCTACTTACAACATATTCACTGTCATCTTGTATCCATTAACTCTATTTTCCCCCAAAGCTCTTAATCACAATTTGCCATTCTACAAAGGCAAAGCCATTATCTGTTTTGTTCACAATTTGAACAAACTAAAAACTGAGTAAATTTTTATTGAAGATGAATGAAAAAATAAACATTAAGTGACTACAAGTATAAAAGTGCAGTGACTTACCAATATACTGATTTTGCATAAAATTCAATATTATCAGAAAAATCCCCAATTTCTTCTTTGGCAATACTCTCCAACCAATCTACCACCATCTAGGAGGAAAAAGATTAGCATTAACTATGAACATTTGATTTATAAATGGTATTCTTATCCTTTGTCCCACCTTTTTTTTTTTTTTTTTTTTTTTTTTCTTTTTCCTTTTTATCGGTACTGGGGATCGAACTCACGACTGTCTGCTTACAAGGCAGGCGCTTATGCCGCTGAGCTAAATCCCCAGCCCCGCACCTTTTTTTTTTGTATTTTATTTTTTGGTATGAGGGATTGAATCCAGGGCTTTTACACTGAGCTACATTCTCAGCTCATTTATAAATTTTTATTTTGAGACAGAGTCTTGCTATGTTGCCCAGAGTAGGCTTGAACTTACAGCTCTTGCCTCAGCCTTCCAAGTAGCGAGGGAAGGTTACATGCAAGAGTCACTACACCTGGCTTTCAGTTTCTGACTTAAAAATATCAAGTAATAATTTTTCAACCACTATTCTTACATTTTTAAGACAAATATCATGGTGAAAGAATAAAAACACAGTTTTGGACAGGCTATTCCCAAGGCTATCACTTAAAAATTAAGGAACAATTTTCCAAATTCAAATTACAAAATTTCTAATTTTAACTATAAACAAATGGATCAAGCTGAAATTAAGAAAACATTTTAAATTTTATTTTTTAAATTAAAAAAAAGCTTCGATACTTATATCTTTTCTCCATTTTTTTTTTTTTGTTAAAGACTGGGTCTTGCTATGTACCCCATGCTGGCCTCAAACTTGCTGCAGTCCTCCTCAGTGCAAGCATCAGGAGTGAGTCAACATACCCTGGTTCTCCGTGATTAAACCAAACAATAATAAAGTATTCTAGACATACCTGACACTGTCGGACAAGTGACTCTCTCTGAAACAGGGCTTCCACAAACGTTTTTTCACTAGCATTAGCAGCCTATTATAGAAATTATTTCAAGGAGAAAAAAACAAAAACAAAACAAGATGTTCTAAGAATATTATTTTCAAAACAAAAGTAAAAAGCAATCAAATAATCATCTATACAGATGTTATACTACAGTAAATCTGTGTATTTACTTCTGAAAAATATTTATGAATTTCAGATGTCAAGATTAATGTGCAGGTGTTCTTATATTTTAATTTGTTACCTTGGAATTTAAAATTTTATTTCCCTATGGCTGATGTGTCAGGGAACATAAATACAAAATTAAATTTGAAAAAGAAGTACAACACAAGGGTTTTAAGACTTTTGGTGACATGACAGAAATATTAACAAGTAACGTTAAGCTGTGTATCCAAAGGATGTGTTGTGACTACTTCAAGCATGGGCCAAACCTATGAACAACTTATTTTATTCAGGAGTTAAAGGAGAAAAGCAACTATTTTTATTTTCTTGGTACTAAGGATTGAACCCATGGCTACATCTATAGCCATGTTTTAAACTTTTTATTTTGAGACAGGGTCCCACTAAGTCACCAAGTTCCCAGGTTGGCTCAAACTTGCTATCCTACTGCCTCGGCCTCCAAGAGGGCTGGGATGATAGGCACGGACCACCAAGCCCAGCTAAACAGGCACTGCGTGCGTGCGCTGAATATCGAACCCAAAGCCTTGTGCATTCTAAGCAAGTGCTATTTCTGAGTTAGATCCCCAGACCCACATAAACTTCTTGACTAATGAAATATCACTTGATAAAGATATTTTCTCGATTAAAAAATGCATGACTATCTAATTTAAAAATCTAGCAATTACTATAAAGTGAAATACCGTCTTTAATGTCTAGAAGACCAAAAGAGGAATCCCTCCTACTATTTAACTTTTAGAATATCCTACCTAACATAATACAGCTACAAAGATTAAAGAAGTTATAGTAAGTACAAAAAAAGAATCAAAGCCATCATTATTTGTAGAGAACCAAAATGCCTATCCAGAAACTAGAGACAATAAATGAGAAACTGTGGAATTAATATGACAGCTCAATAAATGTCTAAGTATAAGACAGACTTTCTAGAAGTAGATGTTACTTTGTTGGTATTTGTAGAACAAAGAGATGGAAAGGATATTTAAAAAAGTATTTTAGGTTAAAAAAACACTAAAAGATATGGATAGCTGAACTTATTATAAATACAAATATTTTCTTTTTTGACTATATATAATTGTTTCAAACATAAATTACTTTTGAAATGAGAAAGTAAAAATAACCCCCCAGAAAGGCAGCTTGTCTTGATGGTTTTAGAGGTATATTTTTATTAAGCTTTCAAAAAACAATTCTTACATTCTTCAATAGAGCACAAAAAATGGTAGAATAGTCCTGATTTTTTTCTGCAAAGATAGCACAATTCTAGACACCAAAACTGAATGATAAATTACCAAAAAGAAAACACACTTAGGAAGTTCTAAATAAAATATTAGATAATACAATTCAGAGGTATATATAGGAATACAACATGAAAAAGACTGCATTCTGAGATAATCCAGTGGTCTGTACTACTATAAACCATTACATTAACAAATTAAAGCAAGTATCTATACAAGAATAATCAATATCCATTCTAATTCAGCAAATCAAGAGACAAGAAATTCTTAATTTATATATAGTAAACCATCAAATATAAAGATGAAAACCAAAAGCACTGTTTTCAAGAATAAGAATATGAACAAGGAGGGGCTGGGGATTTAGCTCAGTGGCATAAGCGCCTGCCTTACAAGCAGGCAGTCGTGAGTTCGATCCCTGGTACCGATAAAAAACGAAAAAGACAAAAAAAAAAAAAAAAAAAAAAAAAAAAGAATATGAACAAGATGTGGCAGTGCACACCTTAATCCCAGCACTTGGGAGACTGAAGCAGAAGGAGCACATCATGACTTCAAGGCCAGCCTGGGATACACAGTAAGACTCTGTCTTAAAATACCACACCCCTGAGCTGGGCGTGGTGGCTCACGCCTGTAATCCCAGCCCTCAGGAGACTGAGGTGGGAGGATCATTGCGAGTTCGAGACCAGCCTGGGCTACAAAGTGAGCTCAAGGTCAGCCTGAACTGCACAGAGAGACCCTGTCTCAAAAAAGACCAAAAACAAGCAAACAAACAAACAAATAAAAAACCCCACCCCTTGCCAAAACAAAACAAAAAAGAATGTCAGCTACAAATTCTTCACTGCACGGGTGATCCAACCCAATGCAGTGAGGAAGGAAAGGAAATAAGGTGAACACCGATGAGAAAGAACTAAGGAGAAAACTCTATTTTCAGATGACTACTGCTCACATACAGAACAAACTCAAGTAAAAAAACTCTAATGCTGAAAGATGCAGAAACATGAGCTGTATACATAAATGAGTAACTTTCTACTTCACAGTAATAATTAGAAAATAAACAGAAGAGTCTATTTGCAGAGAATTCTATAGGAAAAAGTACAAGATCCATACAAAATTTAAAAGATTTGAATAAACGGAGAGAGATGCTATGATTAATGTGAACATACAATGTGGTAAAGATGTCATATTTTCCAATTAATTTACAAATTCATTATTTTTGTTTTGTTTTGTCTGAGATAGGGTCTTACTATGCTGTTCAGGCTGGCCTTGAGCTCACTTTGTAGCCCAGGCCAGTCTTGAACTCACAATAATCCTCCTGCCTCAGCCTCCTGAGTGCTGGGATTACAGGAGTGTGCCACCACATTCAGCTTACAAATTCAGTATTATTTAAATCAATATCCTAAAATAAATTTTAACAAAATGAGAAATATAAAGTTCATCTGAAGAAAAATGCACGCAAAAGTAGCCAAAATGTATTTATAAATGGGAGAAGCAGACTAACCCTACCCAAAAATGGAAATTTCAGCTTTAGAATGTAATCCTTAGGTATGTACTCCAAACATGTATTAAAATTAAAAAAATTTAAAAATAAAAATATTTTAAAAAGAACATTTCTGTGTTAGAGTAACTCATATAGTATTAGCTTTCAAGTAAACTAATCAATAAAACAAAATATTCATATACAAAGAATACTTGTTACGTTACGAAGAGAACATTACAAATCAGTGAAAGATGACCTTGATAAATGGTGTTGGGATATTCACTGGGAAAACGTTAAATCTCTTGTTTCTTTCATAGTTCAGATGAATTTAATTATATGAAGAGTTAATTTTTTTTAAAAATTGAAAAGTATTTCTTTCTATATTGTTTTGTTTTGTGACAAGGTCTCCCTATGTAGTTTAGGGTGGCCTTGAATTCACTGGCTATGAACTCTAGTGACCCTCCCGCTTCAGCCTCCCAAGTGGTAGGATTACAGGAGAGCACCTCCGTAAACCACCCCTGGCTGAAAGACATTTTTAACAATAGATATGAAAGGCTTTCCTTATAAGACACAAGATAATGAATGCAAAATGAAAATATGACATGTAAAAAAGGGAAAACAACCCTTAAATAAAGCTGAAAGACAACAGAAAGGAAAATATTAACAGGTATAAAAGAAAAAATAAGAAAACATAGGAAAATGAGCAAAGGCTATAAATACAAATTCATATAAAATATAAGGGGATTATGAATGAAAAAATATTCAACATCCCTAGTGACCAAAGATTTGCATATTAAAACAATGAGCTACTTCCCTAGTTAGGAAAACCAAATGATAGCTAATATCCCATTTCAAAGTAAACTTTTTTTTATACTTTGAGTGGAAGTGTACACTGGGACATGAAGTAGACAATATGGCAATCTCAAATTTTAGCCCAATCATTTAATTCCCAGAATACAGTAAATACTTGTACACATATATAAAGATGAAATATTTTTATTATATTATTGATATAACAAAAACACTAGAAATATAAATTGTGCAGAATGTCTAAAATGTGATATTACATTTATCCTCTGAAACATTAAAAAATAAGGTAAATCTCTATGAATTGGCACAAAAATTCATTTTAAAAAATACATGTGTATAAATAAAGATACATAAAAATGTCTGGTAGTATTCCAGTACATACTGAAGTGTTATACTGCACAGAGAGAGGAACAAAAAAGGACTCTTACCTTTAATCTCTAATATAAATTAGTATTTGATTACCATATTTAAAACGCAAAAGCTCAAGATGGATGGTAAAAATCAAGTCCCATTGGTAAAAGTTTTTTTCTTTAATTTTAATCATTTATGAAGTAAAAGACCAATATAAACTTACAGGAGTTGTGAGTATATTTCCATTTTGTAACGAAGACTGTATCCTGTCTCTGAGGAAACAATATAAAATGAAAAAGCCTTATTCCAGTGTATGAGCTCCCCTGTTAAAAGACTGCATGTGCAAACTTGCATTTTACCTAGTATAAATAAATGAGTTTGCAGTTAATTTGGTCATTACCCTATAAATACAAGTAGCAAATGCCTGCTGACACCTATGCAGTACTTATTTGCCAAAAATACACACTGCAAAGTCTTTTTTTTTTTTTTTTTTTGTCTTTTTCCTTTTTATTGGTACCAGGGATCGAACTCACGACGGCCCACTTGCAAGGCAGGCCCTTATGCCTCTAAGTTAAATCCCCAGTCCCCACTGCAAAGTCTTTAATAGCTACTTGCTAAGGCAATTTTTTCATAACATCTTCATATGGTAACAATGAAAGAATGATTTTCTTTTCTCTCTCTCAATCTTGTTTGTTTCACTTTATTCATTTTTGTATTTTAGAGTCTTGCTAGTGACTCATGCTGGCCCCGAACTCACTACATAATCCATGCGCTGGCCTCGAACTCAAGATTTCCCTGCCTTAGCCTTCCAAGTGCTTGGACTATAGGCAAGAGCTGGGATTTCAGCATGTGCCACTGGGTCCAGCTTCAAAATTTCCTTTTAGCATGAGAAAGCAATAGAATGAGCCAAAACCACCGAGGAACTAAGAGATGGTTTGATTATATTCTTTTAAGCTTCCACTAAACAAAATCATCTTTTCAGTTATTTTCTTAATCTATTCTTTCTTTGTACTGCTCTACTTTTAGTGCTTTCCTTAAACCTTTATACAGATCTATTTGTCTTTTTGAGTCAGGGTCTCACTGTGCAGTTCAGGCTGGCCTTGAGTTCACTCTGTAGCCCAGGCTGGTCTTGAACTCCCAATGATTCTCCTGACTCAGCCTCCTGAGTGCTGGGAATGTAGGTGTGCACCACCTCGCCCGGTGCCTTTATACATATCTAATTCTTGGCAATTATCAGGTTCATTTACTGATAACCCCAACTTCTCCCATAACTAACTTCTATCAATTAAAGTATTAGAAATCATAAGTCTCAAAACAACAAAGCCTATTTGCAAATATATTTTAACTTTTAATTTGCCAAGCGGTTTGCTACCTTATGTTGATTTCACTTATGGTTCTCTATAATAATTTTACCTGTACAAAGAAACCAGTAGCCTCCAGGTGACCATCTCCTGCTGAAGAAGCCAGAGCATACCAGCTGTTTTGGAAAACTTCTGTAGTCCAGGCGTTGCTCTGCTCACCATCTTACTCAGTATACTCACCTGAATGAGAAACACAGACAGCAAGAGGTGAGCTTTCTACAACTGCGTTGCCAGGAACTTTGTGCTCACTAGGTACACAGTGCTAAAAGGGTATTAACATGTAGCGTCAACAGACACACATCATAAATTTTTCCTCCCTTTCCATCGTGTTTTAACTGAATGTAATTTTCCCAGGAGAAACGACTCTAATTTAGAGCAAGGTGTGCTGACATGAGTATATGCATAAAAGTTTAACAGATTCAGACTCAACAACAGCAGCTATGGATATGTTTTTTCTCTCCTCATACAACCTATCCAGGGGAAAGGCCCATACATGACAAAATCACATGAACCAAGAGTAAGAGCGAGTTTTAAAATTATTATTATTATATTATCTTTCTTTTTTGGCACCAGGGATTGAACTCATGACCTTGCACTTGCCAAGCAGGCACTTGTGCTACTAAACCAAATTCCTGGCTCCAATACCTTAAAATTGTATTTGTAAATCTTATACTATGCAATAGACCAGGACAAATATTTTCCTAAGACTGATACCCAAACATGTTATTTCTAGAGAAAACTTCACTAAAGTTTCATTCTATCCCAGTTCAGTGTCTTAACCCTTTTGGAGATTGAAGCATACATGAGAATCTAATAAAAGGTATGAATCTTTCTGATTAAACACACAAAAAATTGCTTGACAAAGAAGTTTTTAGGCCTTGAGAGAAAAGAAATGTTTCTCAGAAGTTATCAATAGTAGAACTTCATTATTTTTTTCCAGATTTTTATTTTTATTAGTACAGATTTACAGAGCATAATGATAACATCCGTCGTGGGGAGCTGGTACATGTATGTAACACACCTTTATTCTTTTAACATCCCCTCCCCCTTGCTTTCTTCTCTCCATCTCCAACAGAATCTCTTTTATTTATTGAGGGAATTAAGAAGCAAGATTGGTCTCATTCAGAACATAAAGATTTGCAACAGGTCTTATCATCTTTTAAAAAAGCTTTTGTTATTCAATGAAGTTACTGCTTTATAAAAGAATGATTCACAGGATGATTACTGAAATAATATTAAATGCTCAAAAATGCCGGTTAGTTGGCATGGTGGCAGATGCCTATAATCCCCACACTTAGAGAAGGCTGAGGCAGGAGAATGGCTATGAGTTCAAGGTCAGTCTGGGCTACACAGTGAGACACTCTCTCAAAAAACAAAGGAAACACAAACCCCTCCAAAAGTAGGCTATTCCTATTGTTACTCCAATTACTCTTTATTTTTGAGACAAGATTTTGCTGTGTGTTGTCTAGGCTGGTTCAAATGTACAATTTTCTTGCCTCAGCCTCCCAAGTAGTTGCGATTACATGCTCATGCCACTGCACTGAGTGGCAATTATTTTTCAATGCAATAGTTTTAAATTCTGTTTTAATAGATCTTACTTTGAAGGCAGTTTACACGTTCACAGTAAAACCGAATGGAAAATACCCCTGCTAGGGGCTGGGGATTTAGCTCAGCGGCATAAGCGCCTGCCTTGCAAGCAGGCAGTCGTGAGTTCGATCCCTGGTACCGATAAAAAGGAAAAAGACAAAAAAAAAAAAAAAGAAAATACCCCTGCTCCCATGCATACATACACAGTCTTCCTGTTAGTATCTTGCACTAGAATGCTGCACTGCCTATAATTAATGAACCTACCCTGACACGTCATTATTACCCCAAATTCCCAGTTGACTGAGGGTTTATGCTGAGTACACAGCCCATGGATTCTAACAAATGTATACGGATATATATTCACTATTATACATACATGTTACAGTATAGTACTAAAAACTCTCAGCGTTCTGCCCATCCGTCCTTCCTTTCCGACTAACTGCCAGCAATCTTTTTACTACCTCCATAGTTTTGCCTTCTCCAGGATGTAACAGTTGGAATCATACAGTACACAGCCTTTTCAGATTGGTTTCTTTCATTAACAATACACATTTAAGATTTCTCTGTTGTTGGATGCACAGGACATACCTGTAATGCCAGTACTTGGGAGACTAAGGGGAAGATCACAAGCTCAAGGGCAGCCTTTGCCACTATACCGTGCAACTCTACCTCAAAAACTAATAAAGAGGGGGCTGGGGATTTAGCTCAGCGGCATAAGCGCCTGCCTTGCAAGCAGGCAGTCGTGAGTTCAATCCCTGGTACCGATAAAAAGGAAAAAGACAAAAAAAATAAAAAATGAAAAAACTAATAAAGATTCCTGTGTCTCTGTGTGGCTCACTAGCTCATTTCTTCATAATACATTAATGTTGCACTTACTGGATGAATTACAGTTTATTCATCCACCAACTGAAGGACATCTTGGTTGCTTCTAAATCTTTGTAAATAAAGCTGCTATGAACATCCATATGCAGGCTTTGGTGTATGAGGACAAATTTTTAACTCACATGGCGATATGCCAAAGAGCACAACTGCGGAATCACACAGAAGGAGCAGGTTTAATTTTGAACGAAACTAATAGTCATTTTGTATTCACATCATCAGTGACTAAGATTCCCACTGCTGCTCCACATTCTCATCAGATTTTGGTACTGTCATGGTATTTTGGATTCTGTCATTCTAATAAGCATGGGACAGTGTCTGGTTTTCATTAGCAATTTCCTAATAATATTGGATACAAAACATTTTTTTCATACACTTTTTTGCCACCTGCATTCTCTCTTTGGTATGGTGTCCATTTCTCACCTTTTGCCCATTTTTTTTTTTTTTCTTTTTGGTTTAGTTTTCTTATTGTTGAGTTCCATGAGTTGTTTGTATATTTTATATTTTTTAAAAAAGCAGATTTCTTCCTCCCCCAAGACATTTTGTTTTTTTGTCTTTTTCATTTTCACTGGTACCAGGGATTGAATTCACGACTGCCTGCTTGCAAGGCAGGCGCTTATGCCACTGAGCTAAATCCCCAGCCCCCGCCAAGACATTTTGTATGGAGCTTTTGTTATATGACAAGCAGAGACACTCTGGTTGAGCTGCCCACCACTCCTGCCGCTGTGCCTCTCAAACATCTCTCTTAAGTACAATATGGAAAAGGTTGGTGCTATGCAAAAACTACAACCACTGAAGTTTGACCAATGCTGAAGTAAAATTAGCTTACCTGACTGCTACAAATATTTTCATATTCTTCCACGAGGTCAAAAACTGTAGATAAAGAATGCTTCAAAAAAGATTGCAAGAAATCAGGAAACATGCTTGAGGATGCTAAAACAGATGAAGAAAAGCTAAGTAACACACAAGGTAATTTTATTTGAAAACATAAAACATAGCAACATATCTTTTTTTCTCCACTACTGATTTTTGAGAATTTAATTGGTAAAATACACATGACACAGAACTGACCACTGTAACCATTTTGAAGTGTATAGTTCAGTGGCATTAAGTATCTCTACCCTGTTGTGGTCCCATCACCACGTCCATCCAGACTCCTGTTCCCTTCTTCATCTAGGTACATACCTGTAATTCCCAGCACTCGGGAGGCTGAGGCAGGAGGATCACTGCAAGTTTGAGGACAGCCTGTGCCACTCAGTGAGCTCAAGGCTAGCCCTGAACAACATACAGAGACACTGACTCAACTCTCCATCCCCACAAAAAAAGAGAAGGGCTGTAAAATCAAACTATTTAGTTTGAAATCCTGGTGCAATCACTTCCTAGCTGGCTGAACTTAACAAAGTTAATTAACCTCTTTAACCATCCTTTTCCTGTATGTTCTTTATTTTTCTGTCTCTGATGTCAGGATCTTACTATGTTGCTAAGGCTGGACTCAAACTCATCATCCTCCCCACTCAACCTCTGAGAGCTAGGGTTACAAGTGTGTACTACTGCACCTAGCTCCTGTCCTCTAACATGGGAATAAGTATTACAACTTTTCAGTGGACCTGGTAAGGACCACGAGTTAATGCTTGTAAATGCTAAGCATGTTGACTAGCACTTTTCTGTGTGAGGTTATGATGACAGTAAGATGATGAAGAACATAGTAATATGTATGTACACAGACAATAAAGCAGATGGTGTTTTCCATAAGGGAATAGTAACAACCAACCTAGAACTAGCAAGGACACAATATTATCTGAAAAAAAACCACCCCAAAAAGCAAAACAGTACTACTGCCTAGGCCAAAACAAAACACATCAAAAATGTTACATTAAAAACAAAACCTAAAGAAAAAGAGCTCTCTTTTAACAGATAACTAAGGTAAAGTTTGCAACCTTCTAAAGATGGCCAGGACTACAAACAATAAAAATCATGACTATGGTGTAATAAAAATATTACAGTGGGCCAGGGACTTAGCTCAGTAGTTCAAATGCTTGGTAAGTGCAAGATTATGAATTTGATCCCTAGTGCTAAAAAAAAAAAAAAAAATATTCCTAGTCCAAAAAATAAAACAGAGGGAAGAAGATCAGGAAAACATGGGAGGAAAACGGCTATTTTCCTTCCAAGCCAAGGAAAAAGGTTGTTAAAAAAACTAGCTCTGTCCACACCTTTTCTTTCCATTTCGTTTTGTTTTATGAGACAGGGTCTTATTATGTAGTTCAGGCTGGCCTTCAATTCACTATATAGTCCAGGATGACCTTAAACTCATGACAATCCTCTTCCACTCAGCCTTCCAAATATTGCTATTAACAGGTGTGCCCTGCTACACCTCATGCCTGAACATCTTTATCTCAGACTTTTAGTATGCAGAAATTTGAAGAAATACTTTAAGCCACTCCTCCCAAAAGAAATATGTAACTTATATAAATGTATATTTATATCAATATATTAATTCATTTAATTATATTTATTTATGTTAACATTTATTAACAGCATTCAGAAATGGCCAGAAATAGTTTCTTCCTTAGTGAAAGAAAAGCTACTTTGTCACAAAGCCCCTTACCAGCTTCTCCAGGATCATCTTCACGTAACATAACCGCACTGATCTCCTCTGTGACATTGTTGGGCTCTGTTTTCGTGAAGAGCCCTAAATGCCGCGCTGCGAATCCAGCTGCCCAGTTACTGTCATCCAGATTCGTTACCTTAACAATGAAAACCCACAGCTGTGATAGAGTGACTGTCATTGAATGAATAATAGTACCATTTTTAAAAACTTCTGAAACAACTTCATGTATGTTTTTCATTTTTGAAAGCCAACTGGTAATTTTGTTAAGGAAATTAAATAGTTTTCTAAGTTGTTAAGGTTTTTAAATAGTTTTCTTCTGTGTACTGCTCCGCACTTTTTTTTTTTTTGGTACCAGGGATCGAACTCACGACCTTGTACTTGCCAGGCAGGTGCTTGTGCCACTGAGCTAAATCCCTGACCCAACTTCACATTTTTTAAAAGGTTAATGAAGGCAACATTTTGTAAAACTGAAATTTTTTTTTTTTTTTTTTTTGGTCTTTTTCGTTTTTTATTGGTACCAGGGATCGAACTCACGTCTGCCTGCTTGCAAGGCAGGCGCTTATGCCGCTGAGCTAAATCCCCAGCCTCTGGAAGCTGATATTAATAGGTAAAATAAAGTTCTACCTGTATTTTTCATTTCTGGGGAACTATACAGGATGATCCAGTTTCTTCAACAAATGAATGGTAATTAAGAAAGGGGAGAGGCAAGACTTTAAAAACAACCAAGCCAAATGTGCTGACTTTGTTTGGATCCTGATTTAAACAAAACAATATAAATCAGATGTGGTGGAGCAAGCCTGTAATCCCAGACTTGGGAGGCTGAGACAGGATTGCTGACAGTTTGAAGCCAGCATATGCTACACAGTGAGCTCAATACCAGCTAGAATTGCATAGAGACCCTGTCTCAAAAAACCAAAAATCCAAATGAAACAAAAAAACAAATAAAGACAAAAACAAACCCAAATAAACAAAAATCCAAACACAACAACTTAAAAAAGCTGACAAGACAGGAAACCTAAACACTTAATGAAATATATAATAACTGCAATCATCTACCACAGAACATTTTGGTCAGCAACAGACCACACCGATGACAGTGGTGCCATAAGATTATTAATATTGTAGCCACTTTAGTTTGGTAAGTATACTGTATGACAGTCATGACAAAAATTGCCCAACAATGCATTTTTCAGAAGGTGCACTCCTGTAATCCCAGCGCTTGGGAGGCTAAAGCTGGAGGATCAGTGCAAATTTGAGACCAGCCTGAACTACAAAGTGAGCGCAAGGCCAGCCTGAACTGTGTAGCAAGACACTGCCTCAAAAAGATTAAAAAAACCCATCTTTGTCATTAAGTGATGAGTGCTTTTATAATATATAATATGTAATATATATAACATAATGTATCTTATATTATATACATGTATATATTTGAAATGGAAATAGCTGTGTATATGTATTGGTTAGATACGTTGACTATATTGTACTTATGTTCAAGTACCCTTATTATGTTACAGAGATACATCCTGAAACCATGATACCTGGGTATTCTAAGGTAATGGAGGGGAAATGCACATGGATATAAATGAATGAAATTAGTTAGAATTACAAAATTAGGTAATTGTTGAAGTTTGGCAATGAACACATAGGGACTTACTGTACTACTATATTTTTCAGACATGTTTGAAATATCCATAATAAAAAAGGTTGTTTTGGGGGTTTTTTTTTTTTTGCTTTTTTTGAGACAGGGTCTCACTATGCAGTGTAGGCTGGCCTCCAACTTACTATGTAGCCCAGACTGGTCTTGAACTCATGGTGATCCTTCTGCCTCAGCCTTCTCAGTGCTGGGATCACAGGTGTGTGCCACCACACTAAAAAAGTTTAAAAGCTATCTTTTATTGAAAAATGCAGGTCTGAACAATAAAAAAAATGTTATCTTTAAATCGGTCTTCTTGAGGCAAAAAGCTAGAGATTGATGCTGTGAATCTATGTGTTTAAAAGGATTATAACTTTGGGCTTTTAAAGATGAATTTGGGGCTGGGGGTATGGCTTAATGGCAGAGCATTTGTCTATCATGTGTCAGCACCAAAGGGAAAAGAAAACACTAAAGATGGATTTAATCTTCTATGGTAACAGAGTTTATCTAAGGCAAAACTACCTTTCAGAAAGCACCTAACTTTGACAAACGTACAAGTGCGTGCATAAAAATTTCTGAGCCTATTTAATACATCACAGAGCCAAAGACAAAAGAAACATTTTAATTTTGTTTTTGGAACTAAATGTGCCATTTATTGTCTCCTACAATAAAACTGTTTTCTTCTCAGACATAATGCTTTCTTTTTCTATACGTATTTTTAATACCAAAGTGAAGTCAGCCTATATCACTGTGTATATAACATTTCTTTTGCAATTTTCAACTATTCCACAGTGACTCTGTTTTTGTTTTGTTTTGTTTTGTTTTTTTGGTTGCTGTTTTTTGAGACAGAATCTCACTACATTGTTCAGGCAGGCCTTGAACTCACTCATATAGCTTACATTAGCCTTAAACTCAGGCATCTTCCGGTCTCAGCCTGCCAAGTGCTGGGGTGCCTGAACTCATGACCTTGTACTTGCCAGCCAGGTGCTTTTGCCGCTAAGCTAAATCCCCAACCCTCAACAGTGATTCTTACAGAGCATCTCTACTTTTCCCCAAATTGTTTTTTGTTCCCTTGAGTAGAAAAAGCAATCGAGTTCTCCTATACTTTCACAACACAGACCACTTCTGTCATCAAATGTCTGAGGGGTTTCCCACACACAAGCGAATCAGTTCAGCAGCAGATAACCAGCTGATTGTCTTCTAATTCAATTTTGACTCTACTGTCAAAGTCCCCAGGCAGACAGTGTTTATCTTTCATATTATATTTTCATCTATTACTCATGGTATTCTACTTCTTTCATGCTTCAAAACAGCTTAATTGAACTCATGACTGCTTGCTTGCAAGGCAGGCACTTATGCCACTGAGCTAAATCCCCAGCCCCTAAAACAGCTTAATTTTTATAGCTACCAGCAATCAATTCCAAAAGGTATTTTGCTTGGTTAGCAAAATGCTAGATTAAAAAAACATTTAATATACAGTATATCTAAATGTCACTGATGTCAGCTTCTACCTGTGACATGAGATACTAAAGGTCTGTTTTTCAAACGTCTAGCCAATTATGTCAATCCACATATCCTAGAGTTACTTTTAGAAAATGAGTTCAATTTTCATTAAAAGGCTTTTAAGCCACACAGAAGGTAGAACTTTTTTTTTGTCTTTTTCCTTTTTATCGGTACCGGGGATCGAACTCATGACTGCCTGCTTTCAAGGCAGGCACTTATGCCGCTAAGCTAAACCCCCAGCCCCAGAAGGTAGAACTTTTTAGCACTGATTTATACATACCATGGACAGATTTCCCAAAAACCCTGAAGACTGTGTAAGCTGAGGAGACCGCCCTTCTGTTCCCAAAATGCAGGAAATATCTGGATGTTTTGGTAAGCTTCGGTTTGGTGGAGTGACTACAAATAAGAGGTTGATAAAAAGAACCTAAGGTATATGAGCATTGATCATCAAAACCAAGCATGCAAACAAACAAGAATAAATATTTCAGTTTTTGGTTATTTAGATTCTAACCAAACAAATACCCTGTTAACATTTCCATGATATAAAGAGTTAACATATTTTTCTAAATTTGAAATTTTAGTGCTATTGAGCCAATGAGGGAAAACTTTACTACAAATAGGGCTGCTTCGCTGTAATATACTGAGCAGTTAAAAAAAAAAAAAAGACACTAACCAATGGATCTTTCATATTCTAATTTTATAAAGAATACTGAGGCAAATTGGTAGAGCAGACTTGTGCTTTGGTGGACAAGAGTGTGGTCTGAATGGAACTTATTACCCAAATTAACTTTTCTAAGTATCACTTTCAGCTTTGGTTAAACAGAAGTAACAAGTATCTATGCTTATGTATAGCATAGATAGTTATTGTATGCTTATCTGAAATATGATACCTTTCTTATGATACAAGTTTAACAAACTATAATCATTATAATTTGTGCTTGTCAATATTGTAACCAAATATTTATTTAGTCTTTGTGAGACAGGGTCTTACTCTGCAGTTCAGGCTGGCCTTGAACTCACTTTGTAGCCCAGGCTGGCCTAAACTCAAGCAATCCTCCTGCCTCTGTCTCCTAAGTGCTGGGATTACAGGCATGCGCCACCACATCCGGCTCAGTAACCAAATACTATGTGCACAATGAATGTCAGGGGCTATTATAACTAGAGTTATAATTAAATACTTTTTTTTAAAATGTATTTTATTAAATACTTTTTTTTTTTCCTCACTATTGGGCACTGGATCAAATTTAGGGCCTTTGCACTGACATAGATACCCTGCCCTTTTAAAATTTTTATTTTGAGAAAGGTCTCACAAATTTATCCAGGTTGGGTTCAAATTTATAGATCCTCCTGCCTTAGCCTCCCAGAGTGCTGGGATAACAGGTGGGTGCCCCGTTTATTAAATACTTTAAAAGCAAAAAAGTCTTACAAGGCTGTCGAAATAAGCTAGGAGTTCGAGGAATCATCTGGTTTCTTGGTGTACTATTGGCAAGATTTTCATCATGGGAACTTCGAACTTTAGCAAGAGTTAAGAAAATTTTTCATGCAGAAAAGAGATCACTACAGTTATAATTAACCACAGTATTACTACGCAAAATATGTAAATACATTTTTTCAAGAACCAAGATCTTATGGCTAATAAATGCAAAGAGTAACTAATTTTGTCTGCTATTTAAATTCTCAAGTGTCATCTTAATTAACTATACAGTGGCCTAAGAGCTCTCAAATAGAAAATGGAAATTAAATCTCAGCACATGCTACTCACAAAATGACAGCTATAAAACAGAATATCCTGTTTTAGAGCAACATAAATTATAACCTCATTGAATTTCATTGACAGTATTATTTGATCAAATAAAGTATCTGTAGAGTGAACAAAACTAGTATCTGTAGTATTGTATTATAGTTAATGTTTAATAGTTCTCATAAAAACAAAATTCTACAATGATTCAAAACATGCAGCAATCTGTATACTCCCCAAAATACAAAGGATACTCAAAAGTCTTTTTTGTGCACTCTGCTTCCGTGCAGTCCGTGTCACTTCTGGCTCTCGGATCACAGGCGACAACATCTCTCCAAAACCGCTCCTAAAATAGTATAATTAAGACTTTTTAATGCAGGATTTGCAAGCAACTTTATCATCACAATTGGTGTAAAAGATCTTGAGTCATTCCAATAGCTATGGTTTAGATCTTTTTGCCAAGCATGAGCAGCTGGTATCAGATCCTGCTTATTCAAGTCCCACTTGAGTCTTACCTATAGACTTCTTTGATTTTCTAACACACATAATATTGTTTTGTTCTAGGGAATTATCCCAACACTCAGAACCTGTATTATAACACTTTTTAAATAATTGCTGCATAAAAGTCTTTTCCCTATTGAACTGAGAAGTTCCTTAACTGGGACATCTGCAATCTAAAAAACAGTCATGCACTGTTTAATGATTTGGACAGGTTCTGAGAAATCACCACCAGGTAATTCTGTCATCATATGAATGACAACATACTTAACACAAACCAAGATTGCTATAGTGTCACCAGGTAATATATTTTATGAGACCACTGCTGTATTATGTGGTCTACCACTAAGATACCATTATATAGCCATGACTACTTCTAGCCATAAAAAGTATGAAAAAAATTGAGCTGATGAGATGGAAGGATAAGTAAAAAAATACTAATAAACTGGAAAGAAATGAACCTTCAGATTATTTCTCCCCATAGCACACTAAGTGTTGTGTCTTCCCCCAGCTCTGCTAAGTCATAATGTTCCAGATGTCCCATCATTCTCATTTAAAGATCTAGAAATAAATCATGGATTATGAACTATGTTTTATGATTTGAGGGGTACCAGGGATCAAACTCATGACCTTGTGCTTGCCAGGCAGGCACCTTTGCCACTGAGCTAAATCCCCGCCCCTGTGTTTTAAAATAATCTAAACTGGGCATGGTGGTGCATGTCTGTAATCCCAGAACTCGGGAAGCTAAGGCAGGAGAATCACTAGGAGAGTTCAAGGTCAGTCTGAATCACAGAGAGATCTTGTCTGAAAAACAAAACAAAAAACCCCACAAGAATCCAAGATGCTTCTCTTCCACTTTAAGTCTTCACATAATTCTCTCCGATCTACAGCATCAAATTTCTTAGCATGTTATTTAAAATGTGGACCCAATTTAGGGGTTCTGTCCTATGATGAGACACATCATTACCATATAAACATATACTGCATGCAATCATTCATGTACACTAAGCATACACTTTTTTTTTTAAATATCCTTACACACTGGAACACATTTCTCTTACAGAGGCCTTCTGTCCACCTGATGAATACCTACTTATTAATCAAATGGCCTTATACAGCCCGGAAACACAGATCCCTGTTGGCAACTTCTATCTAACCTTACTAGCTTCCTAACTTTGACCAAGTTCCTTAGTATCTTTCAGCCTCATTGTTATCTATGAAAAAAAGATGACACTACATATGCTCATAGGTTTGTTTGGAAGAGTCAACAAGCGACTTAATGTTTTGCACACAGGCAGTCATGTAATAGACTATATTTGCGAATTCATAATGTACTATTACTATTCAATAAACACCGCCCACTACCTCATTCGAGAGGTCTGCCTGATACCGCCTGTGACAGAGACTTAATTGCTCCTTCTTTTCAAACAATGCAATAACAAACTCTTGTATCAGTTTACACTGCTTACTGGCCCCCCCCTCCCCCACTACACAATGAATTTCCCGAATCCAAGTTGTTCCTTGAACAACTCACCTTTGTTCAGGGGACTAATATAACCATCAGACCTTAGGAAGAATTCAGCTATTGGATGCTGACACTTTTTTTTTTTTTTTTTTTTTTTACCGGTACCGGGGATCGAACTCACGACCGCCTGCTTCAAGGCAGGTGCTTATGCCGCTGAGCTAAATCCCCAGCCCCGATGCTGACACTTTTAACCATCCAGACTGGGGCGAGATCCCAGGGACGCCACTGACTAGCTCTGCGATCCTGGGCGCTCACCCAGAATTTTCAACGCGCAGCCACCACCTACCCCGCCCACCTCCGAATTTCAGTCGCAGCGTGAAATCGACGAACAGATCTGATCTGCTGTGGGGACTTACAGGACTGTCATTTGGTCTCTCCCCACCCACACAAGCGGCCTCTCCTCCACGGGTTACCAAATCTCCAGGGCAGGAGAGGAATCCTGTGGCCGACCCTCAGGACATCCACGGCTTCCTCTGGAAGTCTGGTTTCGCTTATTTCACTCCGCCAACTTGCAAGAGGGAAAAGATTTCAGGGCTAGGTGTCACCACCAGGACTGACCTGTCCATGGCTACAGCCTTTTTCACTTAGAACTTTATAACAATGGTCCAATTTAGTCGCCGCGTTTCAGCCTTCCCGCTTTCCGGAAGCAAACCTTTCAACCCGGAAGCAGTGCTAGAAAAAAAAAAGTGCGGGGAACGAGAATTAAAAAAAAAAAAAAAAATCCTATGAGGCGCATGCGCAATTTCTACCTACAGGCTCAGGCTTAGTGTGTGCAGGCATAAAACTTTACCAGTGCGTGATGGAACGCCTAGGCGTGGGGTTGGGACCTGGTTGTGTTCGATTGGCGGCAGCGAGGCTACAGCTGTGTGACTCGCTCTGGTCGACTGATGAGTCCTTGGGTGTTGCCAGTCAGAGACAAGCTGGACTTGAATTCAGACCATATCTCGAGGTGCCTATCTTTATCAGGACACTCACTCTTTGAATTATGGTGTTGACCTCAATGAACTGGTTTTTTATTTTTTTGGTCTTTTTGAGACAGAGTCTCACTATGCAGTTCAGGCTGGCCTTGAGACCACTTTGTAGCCCAGGCTGGCCTCGAATTCACAGCAATCCTCCTCGCTCAGCCTCTCGATCCGAGGATTACGGAATTGCGCTACCACACCCTGTTAATGTTAAGGTTTTAAAATTTTAATGTTAATGTTTTTAATTGTTTTTCAAAATTACTATTTGCCCTTTCCCTGGCATTTTTCCCCTGTTGAGAATAAGACCTCTTTAAAAGTCAAAATCCAAGTGTAAAAGCTGATGGCATTGCCCTCTTTTTCAAAATATTGTCTAAGCAAAAAGCATATTCTGGTTAGTCAAAACTTTGTGTCTCCCTCCCCCTTCCAGTTTGAAAGCAGTTACTGTTAATTAACCAGTTTACAAGAGTAAGGGTAGACGCCAAATATGGTGGTGCACACCTGTAATCCACCACTCTGTAAGCTAAGGCAGGAGAATGGCTGTACATTTGAGGACAGCCTGAACTACTTGGTGAAAAAAAACCTCAAAAAAACCATCATATTGTGTTTTGAAATTTTGTTTTGTTTGTTTCTCTTTGAAGTAAAAATGGATTTGAAAAAAGTCATCATCATCGTCACCGTCTTAGTTCATGTCACTAATAAACTTGCTTTGTAGTGTTTCCTGGTGCAATTAGCTAAAAGTTACAGGACAATTTTTGGTACGATGCTTGTGCACTGTGCCCCATGGACCAGATTTGTCAAAATAGTCACACATCCTAAAATTCCACCTCACTAAACCAAAACTAAATTATCTGATCCTCAAAGAAATCAGGATTAGAGATACAACCACATTTTCTAAATAGACCAGTTTCAGTCAACATCGTCGTTATAAAGTTTCTTCTGCTTTAGCCCCTGTCGAAAAAGTAACCAGGTGTCCAACAGTTTTGGTTTCGTTTTGTTCCTGCTTATGAGGAAAGTAACTGTGATGACCATTCCAATTTACTTCTTCTTTTTTTTCTTTCTGCTTGTTTTCAGGCCTATTCTTACAAAGACAACTTTCCTGTGTATGGTGGCACACACCTGTAATCCCAACACTCTGAAAGACTGAGGCGTGAAGATGGCAAGTTTGAACCCAACCTGGACGATTTAATGATTTAAGTAAAGCTTATCTTAAAGGAAACAAGTTAAAAAGAGTTGAGAATGTAGGTCAGTTAAAAGTTCAAAGGCTCAATCCCCAGTATGGGGGTGGGGACCTCTTCTGCTTAGCTCACTGGACCATTACTGTATTTTGTGGAATGGACTAATTTTAGAATCCCAAAGACAAGCTCTTTAAATTTATTGCTATTTTATCCTTTAATAAAGGTATCTCTACTTTCTACAAAATAAGTAGTCTTCATGCCTCCTCATGGAAATCATTTGAAATTTCATAAGAACTTGTTTTTACTTCTTTGAATTTTCCATCAATGTAGATCTCATGAATCAGGTTCTCCAGTTAGATGATGGCCTAAGTTATCCAGTGAGCTAGCAATCAGAGTTATCTGTCAAGATAATTGACTTCTTATTGATACTGTTTTAACCACACTTGTTGATCTGTTCATTTACAGATGACAGGTTAGGTTACCTCCATGCAAGCTTTGGTCCCACAATTCTCATAGCGTTAACTGAGGCCTTGTTGAATTTAACAAAGGTACTGATGATAATTCTCCTAGCTACATGACTACAATTCCATGAGATGTGCCCATCAAGAATCACCCAGCTGGTACCACACTGTTTCTCTGGTGTGAGAAACTGACAGTACAGAAGGATCAAAATGTATAACAGATATTGGGAAACAGAAAATGTTCAAATGCGAAGGTGAACTATGGGGGACGTGGAGGAAGGGAAAAGAAAAACAAGAAAAAAGGGAAAAAATGGAAAAGGCTTTTTTAAAAGAACTTGAAGAGAGGGTAGGAGAATGGGGAAAAACCCAAGAGGTATCAATCACAGGTACAAACTCCCTATGAAGAATGTGATCATGATGTACACAATAAAATGTACCAATAAACTTAATTTTAAAAAAGAACCACCCCGATGGATATAGCACAGAGTAGGGCACATACTTAGCATGGGTGAGGCCCTCCGTTTAACCCTCAGCACCATGGAGAGGAAGATCAGAAATCTCACCCAGAAAATCCAGTTAACCCAACTGACTTTTTACTTTCCTCCAAATGCCTTTATTTTTTAGAAATTTATTTTTGCTTCAAAGTATATTGAATGTTAATATATGCAATATAGTTAATAATATATTGTTCTAGGCCACTACAATTTTAAGCTCTTAGTTTATTAGTACATGTCTTTGACAAAAGTACCAAAACCACACACTGGAGGAAAGAGAGCTTCTTAGTAAATGGTGTTGGGAAAACTGGTTATTCACCTGCAAAGGTAAAATCTAGATCCATATTTCTTATCATGTACTAGACTAAAATTAAAATGGATCAAAGAACTAAATGTTCAACTAGAAACACTTAACCTACTGGGAGACAAAATATAGGTAAAACTTTTGAAGTTGTAAGTATAGGCAGGGACTTTCTGAACAGAACACAAGTTGCACAGGAAATTGTTCTGAGAATCAACAAAAGAGATCATTTCACATGAAAGCGCTTCGACACAGTTGTCTTGGTTACTTTTCTCTTATTGTTGAGACAAAATACCTGATGCCCAAAATTAGGGAAGGAAAGGTTTATTTATCTTACAGTTTTGGAGGTTTCAGTCCATAATCAGCTGGCTCCAAGGCAGGGTGGCCTGGCACTGGGGCGGCACTTCATGGCAGCAACAGGGATATTAACAAGGCTCTTCTCCTGGTTTATCTTGTACACAGGCCACCTCCCACCCCCACCCCACCCGACTCTGGCTTCAGAGTGGGTGTAGCACTCACAAAATCTCCTTGCCCTCCTTTGCAAGGGATCGGGGATATTCACCCAAAATGAACCCTGTCTCCCTGCTGAGTCTCTCAAACTTCTAAACTTCTCAAGATGACACAATGTATTAACCATAGCAACAGTAAAAGAAGCAACCATCAGAAAGAAAACGACCTACAGAATGGTAAAAAAAATTTTTCCAGTGATTCCTGAGCATTTTATAGTGGTGGTTTAAATGCTTATGAATAACTGCAACAAGTGAGAGAATATTACATACTATTTTATAATCTGTCTATTCAACTAATAATGTGAACTTTTTTCATCTCAAAAAGTATTCATCTAAATTGATGGTGCAGCCAACATTGTGAGAGTAACATTCCTTCTTCCATTTCCATTTCCAAAGTGGCCTAATGCAACCTGACTTCAACTCTCACTGCTAAACAAGCACTGTTCAAAGCAAAGTTGTCAATGGTCTCTTTCCCATGAAAGTTTGGCTTTTAGCCAGATGTGGGAGAGCATGCCTGTAACCCCAGCACTTAGGAAGCTGAGGCAGGAAGATTTCCATGATTGCCAGCCTGAACTAAAAAGAGATCCTGTCTCTGGGTAAAATAAAATGAAATGGTAAAATAAAAGAAATTTGTGTTTTATTTCTCTTCTGAGGAGAACTTGACATTGATGATCACGCTCTTCCCAGCTACTGTACCGCTCCTGCACGTCATGACTTTGTTAGTGGGCTTCTTCTAGTCCACTCTGGCTTCTCTTGGCCAGCCTCCTCTGTGGGCTCTACAAGTCTGCTTTCTCTTAAGTGATAATCTTCCAGAGTTCTGATTTAAGCCCTCCTTTCTTCAACTCTTCTCTATTCTGAGGCTTCTAAAAGACCTCCATTTCCTAATAGATCCTCTCAATATCTACAGTCTCTCCGTACTCTGATTTTGTATCCCAGATTCATGTATTTTGTTGCTTACTAGATATATCCACTCTGAGGATACAAAGCACTATAAAATTTAACATGTTCTGCTGGGAGTGGTGGTGCACACCTGTAATCCTAGCTCTCCTGAGGCAGGAGGATTGCTGCTAGTTTGAGGTCAGCCTGGGGTACACAGTGAGTTCAAGGCCAGCCTAAACTACATCATGAGATCTTGACTCTAAAACAAAACAAAGCAAAACAAAACAAAATATTAACACAATCGATCAGTCTTAAACCTGAACTCAGCTCTGTGTCCTCCCTGGCTCCACACCAAATGACATAACAGCAAACCTGGCTGTCCTTTAGTTATTTATCTTGCAAATGGCTACATCCAGGATTCTACCAATGGCCCCAAAATGTATTTTCTTAAGATGATTATAACAGTTAAGAATAAAAATGATCATCGAAGTTCCTTTTGTTCTCCATAATAAACAGTTCAATGGGCATTCTCCTGAGGATCCTTTATTCATTCACAGAAATATTTAAGTGTATACCATGTGCCAGCTACTGTGGTTGGATCTAGGATATATAGGAGAGTAAATAGTAACTCGTTCATTTTTTAAAAATCAGGTAAACTTATCTCTTCAAACGCACATAATTGATATGGTGCACACACACATAGATATATTAAATCACTATTAAAGATAGCTAATGAAATTCAGCTAGTTTTTTAGTTAATGGGTTTCCATTTGGCGAATCTGACATGTGTATTTATCGTTTTCATTTCCACACTAACCTCCTCCCCCACTCTCACTTCTACTTTTGTGAGGGATTTCAAAATGTGTATTGTACTCATATCACTTCCCTTGTTACCTGCCCTTCCTCCCTCCCCTCCCTCTTATTCTCTTCCGTGTATATTAGTCTCCTTTTTATTTTCTCATCAACTTTTTTAGATTCCACGTATTAGGGAGAACATGAGATTTGAGTTTGGCTTACTTTTTCAATAGATGGTCTCCAGTCCATCCATTTCCTTGAAAATGACAGAATTTCATTCTTCCTTGTGGCTGAATATTGTTCTGTCATGTGTCAATGCTACATTTCTTTATCTATCCTTCTGTTGACACCTAGGTTGGTTCCACATCTGCAATGCTGTGAAGGGTGCTATAATAAACCTGGGTATATGAGTCTCCCCCTCGTATGCTAACTTAGGCAACATGCCACGGAATGGTATCGCTGGTCCCATGCTAAATCTGGTTTCAGTTTTTCATTAAACACTGTTTTCTAAAAGTATTCTTTTTTTTTTTTGTCTTTTTTCATTTTTATCAGTACCAGGGATCGAACTCACAACCGCCTGCTTGCAAGGCAAGTGCTTATGCCACTGAGCTAAATCCCCAGCCCTCTAAAAGTATTCTTACTTAAAACCTGTCATGAGGCAAAAAATGTTACATTTTGCAAATTGTTTATTAGTGTTTTGTTGGCAATGTTTTCTTTTTTCCACTTGATGTTAACCAATTCTTTCATTTACTTATTAAAAGTATGGTAATAGATGCATGCCTTAATTTTTACTTTGAGATGAGTCTCTCTAAATTGTCCTGGTTTCAGCCTCCCACAGAGCTGGGATTATAGGTGTGGGCCACTATGTCTGGTTACAGTGTACCATATTTAAATGTGCAGTTCAAGACCATTAAACACATCCACATTGTTATACAAGGTTATGTTTCTTACAAAATACTTAAAACACCAGTAATAAAGAAAAACTGCAAAACACATATAAGTTTGGTCCATAGAGACCTGGCAGCCAAAAATATAGGAAAAAAAGTAAAATTTCATGAAGAAAAAATTTTTGAGTATGGAATATAAATTATATGTATCATAAACACATGTATTATATTTAAAATTGAAGTACTGTACAGCAGAAAGCTAATGGAAGGATTCAATGAGACACTGACAGGTTTCTAGGAGAGGATGTGGTTGTGGTGATCACAGCAGGAAGCTTTTGAATGAACACATTATGTATCTTCAGATATAATTTTTTTGAGGAACAGTGTCTGGCTTGTTGAAAAATGCTTCACTGTGAGACCAGTGAGATCCAAGTTTAAATGTGGGGACTGGTTGTCACTTTGTCATCCTAGTTAAGCAATGCAGTGGAGTAGGGAAGATCGTGGTCATTTCACTTTTAGTAAGTTATTTCACTTCTTTACACTTTTGCTTTCCTTTTCTGTAAAGCTGAGAGAGTAAAGTATTGTCCTAAAAAGTTTGTACTGGGAATACATGATATTCATGCAGCATCTGAGAGGTAGTACAGAACACAGATCCCTTGTGTTGAACACCTGGGTCTCCCCATTTAAAGGAACTTTGGACAAATTTCTTATGTCCGTATAATAGAATTTATGAGTACCGTGCCATAGATTTACTATGAGGATTTAATGAATTAACATTTATCAATTACTTAGAGTGGTATTGACATAGAATAATCACTCAATAAACAGTGGCTAAGATGATACTTCATAACATATACTAAGTATTTAAGAAATTTTTGCTATTTTATTTAGTTATAGTAAGACAGGGACTGGGCCAGGGAT